TAAGACTGTACTGCAGTTTTATACACAAATTGCTCCAGGACAGTCACAGAAGCAGCTCTCGAAAACATGCACTTTTTCATCACAAAGGAACAAGCCTTTTTTTCAAAAACTGGAATTCTTGGGTAAACTACTTTTTAGCAAAGTTATCTGCTACAAACTCCTTACGGCCTACCCCTTAACCATCATGTCTCCTACACAATTCTTCTACAGAAAAATCAAAACCAGAAGTTTGAAATCATATAGTAAAAAAAACTTCTTGACTACCACTTGAGTAGGTAGCACAAATTTCAGAGCATGTTATAGTACTAAACCCTTTCCATTTATAAAAGTTCCTCACCGAGCTGCAACAGCTTCAAACAAAAGGAGGACAGTATTTGCCCAAACGGTGACTATTTCTGATTTTCTCGTTAAAACCTACTGTTATGATAATGTCTGAAGGCAACCCCAAACTGGGGTTCACTAGACACTGTGAACATATGAAGCAGTATGTGTGGGTGAGTCCTAAAAACGTTTTCAGCATACGTTGTTTGTGGCATTAACCAAATCCCTACCAGTGAGACTGCTCCTATAAATAAAGACGAACTGGATTACACATAAGGTACACACACCCCCAAGTACACAGACTTTGTTTGAGAAACTCGTGTGGTGTATCACAGTAGGGGAACATGAACAGGCAGTGCTTGATCAGGAAAAAAAAAAAAAAAACAACCTTGAACATTTGACTAAAATTCTCTTGACTTTGGTAATGCTCTTGCTTGACAGTCTGCAGGTTCCATCTTACATGGGGTACCTGAGCGCAATCAGCAATAATCTCATCAGTGGAATTTCTTCATTGCATTACTTCATAAACTGTTATCCTCTCCATGACATAAGCATGTGAGGAAACATAACATACTCCCTTCCCTAGAGGAGCTTCTCACTTTCAGATAGCCATGTATGTGTCACCTTTGAGTCCTGCCCTCCACAATCTCAATCCTGCTCTTTTCTCTGCTATATCAAGCATATGTAAACTCCAACTAAGCATGCAAAATATAAGTAAACATAACATGCACATATACGGGCGGATTCTTCTGTAACACCCAGGACCCCTTTGCTTAAAAATCATTCCCTTTTCTGTAACAATTTAAACATACAGTTTCGTGGGCAGGTAGGCTGCAGTATCATCTTTGCTCTTGATGATGTCATTACACTTGTCAAGCGTCTGAAAAACAGTAAATGTGTCTCCAATGCTGTAGAGAGCAGCAAGATTTTTTGCTAGTAGTTTTCGCGTAGGTGGCCCAGGGGAGCTGCTGATGAGTCCTGTTAGCTGCTCTACAAGTTTCTTCTGTTTTTCCTTTACATCTGTCTGTTAATGGACCAAAAATAAATAAAACAAGAAAAGTCATTTAATCCTATGTCTTGCAACCACCACCCAGAAAAACCTATCGGAGTGAAATAAATCTTATACGACTCCCACTTGTGTGTAATTCAGCAAATTGCTTGTCCCAGAGATTTGAGATACATTCAGTAATAGCAGAGACAGATGTAAAATGCTCAGAATTAGCTGTTATCCTATTTAACTTTTTTTAAATACTTACTAAAACCACAGTAATACCTTACTAGAACATCTTCTGATTCTCTTTACCATCAAGAATTCCTACTCTGAGAGGGAAGGTTTTGCCTTCCAAATATTTGCAGCAACGAAGAACTCAAACCAAGCTAAGAGTTACACAACAGAGTCATACTGACTGCCTACAATTAAACACTTAAAAGCTACAAACTAATACAGAGGCTATTCAGGCTGAATCTGAAATCATACAGTCACCACCTGGCCATTACCTGTCAACTTTCTCTAGCATGAAATTAATACAAATGTTTTAGAAAGAAAGGGGAGAAAAGCCATTAAGTTACCTTGTTAGCAGCTACCAGCACTTTATCCAAAAATCTTAACCACTCAAAGATAAAGACGGGTCTCTTTGCTTCTGTGATTTGAGCTAATGCTTCTTCGTTCAGTAACAAACTATGAGCCAGCTCCATAACTGGTTCAATTCCAGTATTATTGTAAGCTTGTGTAGCAACTCTAAAACAAAAATGTAAACATTAGTTCAAAGTATAGTACAGCAGTACAAAGCTTTGAAAATTGAGTGAAAATACAAAGATGAAATCTGTAGATTACAATATCATGGTTCCAGCCTGCTTAGACTTGTCTTAGCTAAGCAGTCCCACATAGGAACTACTCACATATCCACAACTGAGTATATCCATTAGTATTTCAGTGAACAAAGCTGTTAATTGTAAAAAGGGCACCTACAGGCAACCTCGCGGTGCTAACTCTTAGCAAGGAAAAATATACTGAAGTCCCTGTTGTCCCCGTTCAAACGGGAAAAAAAAAACAAAACACAAACCACACAACAGAGATAAGAGAGTCATCTCACTGTCTCCTCTTACATAAAACAGATTAAGGATTGTCCCTAATCAAGACCATTGACCACACTCTCAAAGCTTGGGCATGAACCTGGCCACTTTCTCAGCATCTTCAACAGACAAGGTGAGAAGGAGATGAACCTATCACAAACACGACTTTCTGACCATCACAGATTTGAGAGGCAGGAACAGTGACAGCATTTGGCATCACTGAGCTGGGACTTCCCAGACCTCCTTGGCCTTGCTTTATGGGCTGGACAGATGAGACCTCTGAAACCAGCAAGCCATATGTGCGACAGCCTGGAACAGAAGCAGCAGCCGAACGACTGCAAGCCTCCTCAACAGGCAAAATGCTACAGACCAAACACCCGAGATCCCGCTCACATGGTGAGTGCGGTGTAGCAGCAAAGCACTACCAAAAGCACACCATCAGTGTAAGCAGGCACTCTGCAGACAACTTAACCTTCGCAAACCACATTTAAACAGTGTTGCTGCTTAATGTGGAACAGCTAGAAAAAAAACAAAACTTACCTAAAAATCACAAAATAATTCAGCAAAAAGAAACCCCAAAAGCAAAAAAACCCAACGCCAAAACCTGAATGCAGCAATGCTGAAACTAGGATCTCGGGTGAAACAGAAAAAGCAAAGCAACTAAGGAGTCTCATGTCAGACACCATCTTTCAGCAGCTGCACCCTTCCACTTGTGCTCTCAAGTGCTCACAGCTGCTTCCTCATTCCTGGCCAAACCCAAAAAATTCTTTAAGTCAAGTGAAGTGATTTAAATTAAACACATATTTTAAAACAATCCCCAGATTAGACAGTGGTAAAGGGTGACGTATTAACAGTACAACTGTACTATGATTCCAAATTCAGCTTAATGATTTGGTGCTGGTGAAACTAAAGCATCACAGTGTCTGTAATACCAAGCTTGCTCTCTACTCTTTGGTACTTTGCATAGCAATATTTTTCACTGCATGCATCTCCAGTAACAGATCAGCAAAGGAACAGCCACATCTGGAAGCACATACAGCCCTCGCTCCGACACCTCTCCAAAGACCTCTGGCTTTTTTTTTTCATATAGTTATAAAGAATTGAGAAGATATTGCCTGTCAATAATGCACAGACACATCGCCTCAAAACACCTCTACATGAGAGCAGAGAGAAAAGCGATGAATGACAGCATTACGACTGTGTGGATATCGTCCCAGAGACCTGCACTGCTCGTCACACCGGCATGCAGCGCAGCACTGGAGTACTGTACGACAGCACAGCTCATCACTGCTTTTCTGCCCCAGATAAGTTTTCATTTTCCCCTGGCCTTTAGAGCCATGAGCCCTGTATGAGCCTTCCACACGATCCCTTAGCTATTCATCTAAATTTAGGAAACACAAGCTCTGAGCTACCAAACCTGCACATCCATTCAGCTGTGCCGCTGAAGCACAAAGGATCAGATACAAGAACAATTACACGAATATTCAGCTAATTGAAGACTTGGAGTCTAACACCCAGCTGTGCTGGCAGGCAATCCAAAGCCGACCTACACTGGCCAAAGCTTTGCTCCAAATGCCAGCGAAAAACGCCTGCCAAGTCGTACCGGTTCTGGCGAGGGCTGGGTCTCACTGTGCACGCCACAAACAATCGATGCACTACGATCTCCCACGGGACGCAGAGCGAACACCGACCAAAGTCAGCCGGCACCCGGCAAGTTGTGCCGAAGCACTGCAGAGATTACCAAGCGCTCAGATGTAGCGGGGAAGCTTTCTGCTCTCCGCAGGCCAGACCAACTGCCCAGCTCTCCCTCACGCAGGCGCCTCAGCGGACTGACCGAGGAAGCTGAAAAACGGGCAAGTTTCGGGGCAGTGACGGGCTCCCGGAGACCGGCACCAGGCGAAAAGGCCTCTGCGCCAGCGTCCCTC